ACGTAACGTCCGTAAATATTACATGTGCGGGAGCACCAGGCACTTGCGCCCTCAGTGCCCACTGCGGAAGCCGCGTCAAAGTCGGCCGAGCCGCAATCCGCCTCCTAACCCGAAAGTGGGTACGGAGCGGGAAAACGGCAACTCCTAGTAGGCGCGGGGCGCCCTACTGGGGAGGAACTAGGTTCTGCCGAATCTTTATGTTGTCGTAGACGGCCATCTTAGGCAGATATCACCTTATCCCGTTCGCTCTGAGAAGTTAAGCAACCGACCCCAGTGGCCGAGTGGTAGACCACTGGAACTGGGACCGGGGGTACTTGTATCGATACCCGGTGGGGGTTCGGTTACATGGCTCCGGAGATAGGCTAATAATGTAGACGTGCAACCAGCAATGAGTGGTCGGTGCCGTCCGGAGGCCCTACAAGCCGAAAAGCCCCATATTGTAATGAGGGGTGCGGGTCCTGTAAGGAGTTCAAACTGAGTCAGAGTACTCGCAGCTCACCCCAAGGTGATCTGAACGACCGCGCGGAATAAATCTCTGAGAAGTTTAGCTGCCTCAAGCTCGGGTAATGCTCGGGTGGGTGACCACCGGGGAAGTCCCTTTAGGTGGTAAAGATAGACAGGGCTTAGCCCTAGACGGTCTTGTGGAAGTTTCCACGAGACGTGAGCATAAGCCAGGCTTGTTAGTGGCCTCGGATAAAATTTAGGGCTTTAAAGAGCCGTAGTCAATATTAATTGACTCTGGAGCGTCAGGCAATAATGCTCGACGCCAGTCCCTAGAGGAATGCCAGCAAAATGCTGAGGCGCTGGAAGCGTATGAGGGTAATGTTATCACTGTTTACTTAGCGACAGGAACTCTTGTCACCGAACCTAAAGTTCCGTTGAACATAGGTGTGAAATTTTTAGATTTCGATATTATCGAATGTTATCTTGTCCTGGATTCGGACTCGAGATATGATCTCATCCTTGGGATGGCTTGGCTGGAAAGCCATGCAATATGGATTGATCAAAGGTCGAAGACCTTAGGCGCAACGCGCATTGATTCTGGTGAAGCTTTGGAGAGTCATGGACCCACCTTTGCTAGGCAAAAAAGCGCTATTGGCGCGCGCCACTTACGGAGTCTGTCAGTGTGCTGGATATTAAAGTGTCTGGGCTAGTTTACTCTGATGTAATTAACAATAGTAAAACAGCACGCATTCCGTTGAGTGACACTAGTGATGACAGTGAATCACTGAGTACTGGAAGCATTGATGGCTTAAGGCCGAGTCATCCTAGGTGTGATCCCTGTGATACACGTGGAGTGGCACGTGAACATCCCCAGAGTGAGGTCGACCGTGATGGCACCCCACTAAATGTCGGTAATGACATTGTTGGCGATGCGCCAAGGCATCGAGAGCTACTCTCAGCGTATGCGCGTGGAGTGGCACGTAAACATCCACAAAGTGAGGTTGGCCGTGATGGCATCCCACTAAATATCGGTAATGACATTGCTGGCGATGTGCCAAGGCATCAAGAGATGCCTAACAGATGAGAATTTAGTGGATAACTGTCCACAGAGTGAGGTCGGCCGTGAGGGCACCACATTTGATGTCGGTAATGACATTGGCTCTGAGAGAGAGCAGGTTGAGGTTGAAGATAATCTTTACCTCGTGGAACCGGATGTTCCTAACACTTTGAAGTGTTCAGTCTCTACACAGAGACGACAGCGACGCCAAATGGCGGCTGTGAAAAGAAAGGCTTATGCCATAACCCAGAAGGACACTAGTGAACAGTTGTACACGTTAGTCAATGGGGTGTCGGGTGCTATTGATGAAGAAGTTGGCCTCGAGGCCGTCCCATCGATTAACGCTCTGCTAGAGCTATGTGAAATGTCTGTGGACGAATTCCATCAAGCTTTCAGGCTGGTGCATTGTCCCATATGGTGGTCCTTAGACCTGATCTTGAGTTGAACTCGTCACCCCTTGTAGATGAGACAATCGTTGAGGACGTTAAAGTTGCACTCAGTGCTCGCAGTGGATCTGACAAATTAAAGGATCCTTCGGATCCCTTCTATCCTTTGGTAAAAGAATTTCAGGACGTAATGTGACATGATTCACCATCCACTCTACCTCCCGACAGAGATGTGCGTCATGAAATTGACCTGGTTCCTGGGACCAAATACTGTGTCACACGGCAATGGCCATTGCCTAAGGAGCAGTGTGACTTCATTGATGAGTTCTGTCGTGCAGAGCATGCGGCAGACATGGCGCGGGAGAGCGAATCTATACGCTCGACACCGACATTTTGAGTCAGAAAGCCCAATGGTAAGTCGTGTATTGTGCACGCTTACAATAAGATCAATGCGGCCACTATACCGGCGTTGACACCTATGACTATATAGGATGTTCTTCAAAACGCTATGGTGGGTTGCACCATGTTTAGCGCACTCGACTTAGTCTATGGTTATTACCAACTGCTCATGCGAGCGAGTGATATTCCGCTCACAGCGGTTAGCACGCCGAGTGGCATGCTTTGGGAGTGGCTTGTTATGCCTTAATAACTTTCTAATGCCCCGGCTACATTCAATTGTCTCGTGACGCAGTTGTTCAGCCCTCATAAAGGATATGAACAAAGCTTTTTTGATGACATTTTTGTCCACAGCCGTGCAGAACAAGAAAGATCAGATGTGGAAAATCACATCGATCATCTACGAGCAGTGCTCGGGTGCATGCGCACCAACAAGTTGTATGCAAATGCATCTAAACGCATTTTTGGTGCTAAAGAAATCCCTTTTCTAGGTTGCTTCATTGTAAATTGCGGCCTACGGATAGATCCCGCTAAGGTAAAATCCATTGTGAATTTGCCGATTCCGTCTAACCCAAAAGACTTGCGTAAATGTCTTTGCTTAGCCAATTACTTACCCAAGTATAGTGCAAACGATGCTGACATGACAAAGCCATTAACCACCTCCTTAAAAAGAAAGCGGTTTGGTGTTGGGACTCGGTTCAGGCAAAAGATTTTCAAGCTGTAAAGGAGAGTCTACTTCACGCTCCAATTTTGGCTTTGCCTGACCCGGAGCGACCTTTCAGTGTCGTCTGTGACGCATCTAATTTCTCCATTGGCAGTGCATTGTTACAAACTGATGTCGATGGACACAAACGCGTAATTGCGTTTGAGTCTCGCAGCTAAAAGCTGCTGAAAAGAACTATCCAGTTCATGACAAAGATTTACTTGCAATGAAGTATGCTCTTGTCAAGTTCAGAGTAGATCTACTTGGCTCCAAGCCGTTTGTAATCTACACGGATCATGCGTCGCTGCCCACTGCGACCCATTCGCCTCATCTCTCGCAACGTATGGCCCGTTGTCTTTCATTCTTTGCTAATATAACTTCGAGGTAAAGTATAAACGAGGGATGAAAAATGCTTTGGCCGATGCGTTATCACGCAGGCCGGATTATGAGCTTGCTCATGTTACGACTCTGTCGTCTTTATCCCTGATTTATCCACGCGGCTTATGCCAAGGATGTTCAGTGTGTCGCCTTGTTACGCGCATTCGGTTGTGATGAGTTTAAAGACACGGACATTAAATTGTCGGCACGCTCGCGTGCAGGGCTACATCGATATTCGTTCGATCATGGTCTCTTGTGCTATAGCACGGATGCGGCGAATACGCCGCGCATCGTAGTGCCTCATGATGAGAAATTGAAGTATCGTATTTTCTTTGAGGCGCATGATACAGCTTTGAGCGGTAATCTCGGTAGAGAGAAGACCTATGGATCGTTCAGCCAACACTGTTGGTGGCCCAAATTATATAAAGGCTGAGCACATATGTGCGTACGTGTGCAACGTGTCAACGGGACAAACCCTTCGCTCATGCGGCTGCGCCTTTGGCGAGTTTGCCTTTACCCACGGGTTGTTGGGAATCCATCAGTATGGACTTTGTGTTTGGTTTGCCAACAGATTTGGACGGCAACACTGGTATTGTGGTCTTTGTTGACCGTTTGAGTAAGATGACTCATTTAGCGGCTGTCCCGGTTTCGATTGATGGTGAACGTACAGTACAGCTGTCCATCGATCACGTGTTTAGTCAACACGGTTTGCCTTTGGCAATTTTTTCACATCGCGATCCTCGCTTTACGGGGTAATTTTCGAAAAGTCCATCTCCAAGGTGCTCGGCACCAGATTGGACATGTCCACAGCGGATCATCCGCAGACCGATGGTCAAACTAAACGTGTTAATCATGTCATTGGTGACATTTTGTGCAGTGTTTGCGCAGATACGCCTAGGCATTGGAGCTCTATGCTTCCGGTGGTCGAATTTGCCATGAACAATTCGGTCCATGCCTCGACTGGCTACAACCCGTTCTATGTTAACGGTCTCACCCATCCGCGCGTCCCATTGACGATACCACTCCGTGGATCCGGGCTTGGTTGGGGAGGGATTGCCGAACGGCTTGCTGATGTAAGCCTTGCACTGCTCAGAAATAGGTTAATGAGTTCCTTGCAGCAAGGTTGAATGTATTACGGCATGTGCGAGATGCAATGGCGGACATACAAGATAAACAAAAGGAACAAGCAGATGCCTAAGGCAAAAATTGTATTTAAAGTTATGAGGTCAAAGACCGAGTCTTGCTAAACGCTAAAAATCTACCTACAAATGTAGTGTCAGCTGTTTTAAAACGAAGTTGCGTCCGCGCTTCACTGGAACTTTTACAGTCGTGGCCAAGAAGAGCATTGCGTATACGCTCAACTTGCCGCTCAAATTGCGTACACATCCCGTATTTTATGTCGGCCTGCTTTAGCCATACCGGGATCCATCCCATGTTGACTTAAAGGCGCTTGCGCCGCGTACATTGGCGTGGTCACAGGATGTTGCATCCGAATTATAAGGTCAAGTTGAGCTTCGAAACGAGTCTGACGCGACTCCATCATCTGAAGACGGACGCTATCGCCTTCCAACGTCGCCAGACGAGATCGGGCTTCGTCCAGGGCGTTCTGAGTCTGACCCAAAGTCTCAAGGAGATCCTACACTTTCTTCACCAACTCAGCATGGATTTCAGCCAATACTCCGATCGCCACCGGCGTTGCTTGATGAGCGAGGGAACTTACATTTCCATGTGGAGCGGGTACTTCAAAGACGTCGTCGTCATGGTCACTACCAATATTTGGTGAAGTGGTGTGGGTACCCTGAGTCTGAAAACTCATGGTATGAGATTCCCCTTCGGCAAGATTAACCATACGCCGTTGACGTTTTTGAGCGCCACGGCCGAGCTCGTCTTGATGAGCGTCACGCTTCTCACTCGTCGTAGTGAGAGCGGGCGAGTTCGTGTCAAAAGATTGACGTGAACCCGCGGCTGTAGAGGCAGCCGAAGCATAGCGGGAGCGTGATACTCTCCGCAGACGGCCTTTGGCTTCTAACTTCGCGAAGTCATAGCGAAGCTTTCGCTCTAGACTAACGTCTGCCACACTGGCACTTTCGCGCAGTGCGTGCATGCTACTAAGGCGTCGAACGCTATGCACACAGCGGAGAACATATTGTCGTCCGCAATTTCGTCCCCATCTTTGGACATAATGATGGGTATACCCCTAATTTGTGGAACCGGTGTTCCTTGGGCCTGCTTTTGCAGCCGTTCTCTATATTGACTCAAAGTTGTCACAGTAGGTGTCAAGTACCTCTCTCGAAGAGCCTTGAGGCATTCGATTTCAGTAGGCGTTTTCGCCTCGGGGCCGGTGGCCCATGTTGCCAAAATATGGCGTGACGCTTGATGAATTCTTTCTTTCACGCTAGGTGGAGTGAACGTATACTCATTGTGTCGTTGCAACTTTGTCGGAACTTCTGACTTGCGCCGTGCGCTTGCCGCTTGATCGAGCATGCGTTGTTGCTCCTCATCAAGCGGGTTAGTGATAATGGATGTATCCATGGGGGGACATTGCTCCCAGCGCTGTTAGCGCAGTCGCGACACTACGTTCGGGAAACGGATTAGGTGCCGGATGGGGAATGTCCCCACGCACAGGTTTGCTGAGTTTGGACTGCTCCTCCCCCTCGACTTTGGTATCACTTATACTGTCATATTCCACGTCCTCTACACCAAGGAATTCGGCTAGAGCCTTATCGTCCAGGAGGTGTCCAGGTCGGTACATGTGAGTGCGTTACTTTGTAACAAGTCTCAAAGGGAGAATGAGTCGAGCGACGTTAGTGGTAACGTCAGTATGGTGGGGGAGGGTGTAACGGGGTCACACTAGCCATTGGCTAAATTGGTCAAAGACCTCCCATAAATGATATGGAATGGATGTGTGTGACCTTGGTTTTTGTATCAGCAAGAGAATATCGATTGATCGATATTCCCAGGTTTACGGTACTTACCGTGTACGTATTTTGTACCGTCATCATTTTATGACTGAGTGATGTTCCAACCATCCATTCAGTTCGTATACTAATATTTGCATTACTTCTATTTTAGTAAAATATAGGGTACTTAAAAAAGTAGGATTTTCCTTGATATAAAATCTGAATATACTCGGTTCTCATTTTGAGCAGAAGTCCCTAGACTCCCCCTATGCACATTGCGCCCTGCAGTTCATTAGAACTGCCGTAGCTTAGAGAGTCTTTAGACTCTTATTCCCCTTCATATTTTGCTTGTAATTCTCAAGAACTACACAGTAGTTGAGCTCTGAGCTCGTAGAGTCTACCCGAGTTTCGTAGAACTGGGTGAATCTTTAACTTGATGCATTAGTTCCGTAGAACTAATAGGATGTCAGCTGTAAGCGGTTGGCTTTTTAAATAAGTCTTCATCTGACTTAAAGAGCTGTGTAGCTCCGCTTCACGGACTCCGTGGCTGCAAAGTAACTTTCAACTCACAAATGCCGCACAAAAGCCCTTACATCGGGCTACAAATTTATCATATTGAAATTACCGGGTAATCGGGTAGTGAGATCGGCTTGAACATTATCATGCCCGCTACCTTACCCGTTGACTACTCTTTACCCTTTTTCACTGTTTTTACCATTTTACCGGTTAACAAAGGGTGTCTGACCTTACCGAGACCTCGTGGTGTATCGAGCTAATTGTTACAAGTCTAGCGCACATTTTAGTGATTTAGAAAGCTTGTGTCTGTCTCTCACGCTTAATGGTTAGCTATTCACAATATTTATTAAAGGCCAATTGTTTGAAAATTACAGCGTGGAAATGGGCATAGATCTGATGCGACCTGTTTCTAAAGTGTGACGTCAACCGCCTCCGCCCAAATGTCACCCGTCAAACGAAGGATGCTGCCAGTAACAATGGAGGCAAGAAGGAAAGCTAGGTTTGGACAAACTTTGTAATCATCAAAGAAGAGGTGTATCTGTTCGTCAGATCCAAAAACTTCGTGGCGGATCATCAATTTTGCGAAGCTGCGTATGTATGTACCGCTACGAGTACAACCAAAAATTTGGCCAAACATTTGATGAGCAAGCATCAGATACATGATAATTAACCTGCAAGGTGCAATGCGTGCATGTCTAAAATCTGAATATCTGAAGGTTTGTGCATCGCATCAGTTACAAGAGTTGAGTTAAATATAAAGGCGTTGCTTAAGCTTATTATAAAGGATACGTTCCCTTATCAGTTTGAGGAATATAGGCAGCTGCGTGATCTCCTCGAGCTTTGCAATCCTGCAACGAGCTTTCTGTAGTCGCCTAAAAATGGCAGTTAAACAAGGTAGACCACCTATACAAGCTTGAGGTTGAAAGGAGTGGAAGATGTACATGCGTCTGTATAATGTGAACGCTCGGCGATGCTTATCTGATAATCCGTGGAATAGGCACGATCTAAATTGTTTATAGTACATAATGAGCAAGGTCATTGCACTAATAAAATACTAGTTACATATGCACACGTATGGGCGTCAACCACTACACAATGCTACTCATTTAAGTGCAAAGATAGACGAACATGTTGGTCAGTTTGACGGTTCCTTGAAGAACTTTGGTACATGAACGCTCGCCTTGCCACCTTGGTTCGAAACGTATTACACTTGTATATTTTAAGGGATTCTGTTGCGTCTCTAGATTATGTGGTACACACAAGTCGTTTGGACCAGGGTGACCCAGTAAGTTGACTCAATGGGTCGTCCTGTACCAGCTGGTCCGGGTCCTGCGTCGAGGTCTGACCCGAACCAATGACCTTAGGTCGAAGCCTAAACCCTAAATACTAGTACTGGGAAAGATCACGTGAATACACAGAAATTGATTCTGTTGTATGGACTAATTACCTAGATCGAAAGGAGAGCTCCAGAGCTTGCTCCTCTATCTTTGTAAGAACGATGCTAGCATGAGACCTTGTTTTACTAGGCTCTTCTCACTTGGATTTTGGCTATTCTACTTGTTGTGCCACGCCACCCGCTTGTTTTTACATTCCTCGACAACCGCTCCTGCTTCCATAAACTACACTCACGAGCTGCCAATCGTTACGTTCGTCGTTCGACGAGAGGTCCGAACATCATGTTGTGTCAGCGAGAGGTCCTAACATCACGTTGTGTCATCATGTCCCAAGTGCGTCACTTGACAAAGGCCGTCCTCTTTATTTTAGCGACATCACAATTGCATAGAGAAAACGCAGCAATTCGAAGCAGCAAAGGGATTTGGTGATGACTTGGCTTGCGACAGCATGAGAAGTATGGATCAATTCGAGCGCCGCGACGTCCTCCTGTGGCCAAGTTGAGCAGGTCATGGGTCTACCCGTAGTCTTGACATAAAGGAAGGAATAATGAATTGGTCGTTGTCTGGAGAACGAGTATCGTCAGTAGCGCCTTTCCCTACAATCGAACAGCAGAGTCATTTTCTACATAAAAGATCACGCAGCGCTACTGATGCAGAGCCTTCACATTCGAGTTAGTAGTAACAAAACCGTGTCATCTATTGCAGCTGTCGTTCACACGGCACCGCTATCTTCAATGACCAAGGTCAGCAAGCGAAGCGATACCTGCTGCCTCTCAAAACAGACACGATCCAACGTCCTCTATGCACGTGTCACGTTAGTCGCAACGGTTCGAAAGAAAAGACGAGCTCGAAAGATCGTAGAAAGCAGCTGGCTGTCAAGTCAATGATGGGCATCGGTCCCGCACTGAATACACGACGACACGATGACGGATCCCTTGACGCGAATAAGGTGCAGACCCTACAGGAAGTTGAAAAGCAGCAATACCCTTCTTTCAACCTGCATCTTCCTACTCCATCTATGTCAGTTATAACCTTATCAGTATCGAAGTTCAGACTGGCAATGGCGACTTCCACGCACGTCAGTAGCGACTGTGTTCATCAACAGAGAACGGAACAGCGTCGAATCGAAACACTGTCTTTCAATTACCGCAGTCCTTCCACTTGCAATCTGACGACAGCACGTGCGTGACAAGTGCAAGTGGCACTTCCTCAAGTCCAGCGTGGCGTTCTCCTCATTGTCGATTTCGATCACTCGTCCTCAGTCCAAAGATGGTCAAGTACGTGCTCACGGGTGTCGGGGGCAATATCGGAGGCCATGCTGCTGACTACGCAGTCGAGACCAAGAACGCTGCGGATACTTTGGTACTCACCAGCTCAGATATCTCGAAGCTCGACCCTGCACGCGTTGCAGCTTGGAAGGCAAAGGGTGCGATCGTCGAACAAGCTGATTACTTGGACGTGAAGAGCCTCGAGCGAGTGTTCACGGACGCGGAAGCAGTCGCTTTTGTGTCCACTTGGCTCCTTGGAGATGGTCGTCGTGGTCAAATGGTCAACTGCATCCAAGCTGCCAAGGACATGGGAGTCAAACGCGTGTGCTACACGTCGTTCGTTGGTGCGGGATCGGACAAACCGAACGACCAGCTGCCGTTCCTGCCTCGAGACCACCAATTCACCGAGCAGCAAATCTACGCGTCGGGTCTGGATTACAACATCCAGCGCAATTGGTTGTACCAGGACAACACGCCGCGCTTCTTTGCGCCGTCGTGGCAGTTCACTGAAGACCGCTGGCTCTCGAATAGCCACGACGTCCCGGGGGCTTACGTGGCACTTGAAGACTGTGGTCGGGTCTTTGGAGCTCTGCTGCTGGGGAAGCAGGAGAAGAACACGGTGGTGAGTGTCACTGGTCCGGAAGCCGTCACGGACCGGGAGATGTTTGACTGGATGAACTCCATCAGCGGATACAAAGGGCAATTCGTTGACATGCCCGATAAGGAGCTACGTGCTTACTGGCTCAATCGCGGCCTCCCTACGGACGTCTCGGGCGACTTTTCTCACCTTCCTATGAAGTTGTGCATCGAAGACCTCCTGTGCTGTGGAGAAACGGTGGCAAACGGTTCGATGAATGAGGTGACGGACACGGTGGAACGTCTCACTGGCCGCAAGCCACTGAGCTACAAGGAGAACCTGTTGCAATACACGGAAAGCTTCCCACAAGTCCGTAGCTCACCCGACGGAGCTTCACGTCAATGGTGGCAAACAGCAGAAAATGGCTCCTGAATTGGGTCGTTGCTGGCTGTTGAGACTCAAGCAGTTCATGTTATGCTTGACACTTTGACTTGCTCCGTGTTGATCCAAACTCGATCCATCAACACTTTCATCCTCCACTCAATGTCTTTATTACTGTCAACGTTGTTGATGTTTGTTGTTGTTGTTGTTGTTGGTTTTCATGATGCCATTCGATATGGTCGAATCGGGACGCCTGAAAGCGTGAACGCCCACTCTCCAGTATCCGTGTCTGTATCTGAATCGTCCTCTTCTCCTCCAACCAAATCGCAGTCAACAACCGACGTTGACTGCTGATAGTTAGGCTGCGAACGTGATGGCGTCTGCTGCGTTGCAACTCGAGTGATGGCTGAAGTGTCCGACTGTAAACGCCTTCGCCCATAACTTGTCCACGGTTTCTGCGACGACATTGGAGGTGGGAGACCGTTTTTCTCGAGACAAGAGTAGCAGATGTGCATCGGAACGAGTCCGACAGCATGCAAATCCACGAGCTCCTTTGACACACAAGCTTTGCAGACAACGTGGCCACACGCGTGGCAATTCGTGCGCTTCGACAGCACTTGGAACTCTTTCTTGCAGTGTTTGCAGCTCTTGACCGACATCTTCGACGGCCACTCAGCCTTCAGCACAAACGTGCGCGAGTCCAGTTGTTTGCGACGAAAGTAAGCGCACAGACGGATGACATTCATGCCAAACTTCTCCATTAAAAGTCGAGCTGTGATGCCTGGCACCCAACCTCCAGGCTCGAACCCGACCAGGTACACAATCTTGGTAAACTCTTGACACAATTCGCCACTTGACGAGTGTCGAGGTCCTGCACGTCGGAAGAAAAAGCCTGTGCGAAACATGATTGACGTCTCGAATTTGTTGGTCGCTTCAGCAAACTCCGGGCCGTCCACGGTATCCCAGAGACAGTATCCAACAACGGATCCATCGGACTGACGGATCATATCCGTGCCAACAGCGACGCAGATCTCTCGATCCATCATCAACCCCGGCGTGTGATAACTCGAGTAGGTGATGAACATGGAATTCATCGGCCGCTGCGGCGTCGGTCGACGCAGGACTGACAGCACTCGAGTCTCAAGCAAAGCGTCCGACACCACGCGGTTATTCCGAGCCATGGTGTCCGTATCCGTCACGACAAAAAGCTTCATCAGCTCTTCCACTGGTGCGTGCGTGTGGCTCACGCAGCAAAAGCGTTTTTGTCCAGGCTTGACACACGTCTCGTCCGTGTAGTACGAAATGTCCTTCTTATGGAGCTTGAACTTCCACTGCGCCTTGTTGACGGTATCCGATAGCATCGACGCCATCACACTTTGCACAGATTCATTCACCCGCGAGATGATCTCCCGACGACGACTTGGCGAGAGCTCAACAAAGTTTTCACTGCTGCTGCTACTTGAACTCCCTGTGGGAGCTCGAGTTTCGTGACGAAAGCCTTGAACAGCTGGAGGCGCTGAAGATTCCACTGGCACATGAGGAGACTTTTGAGCTTTTGTGCTACTGCCTCCTCGATGGTTCAAAACGGGTCCAACCGGCTTGGAACCGTTCTGAAAACCAGTCGGTCGTAGTGCCTCCTGGTAATCCGGACGGGGTCTCGGACGCGACTGTGGGGGTCGACTTTCCTGAACTTGTCTCGAATACGGATTCGAGGAACTTCTGAACGCCTCCATCCTGTGGTTCAATGGGATCGATGGTGGGGATCGAACTACAGCAGATCCGGATGGTTGGCGCGTTAGGACGTGCGGTCGGTCGTGAACCGGCGGCGACGATCGAACAGGAACCTGGGAACATCGTTGGGGGTGTCGAAATTGTGACTTCTGAGGCCGTGGCGACAGCTGCTCCATAGGCGAGTTGTTCCGTGCTTCCTGCTGCTCTTCGACCGGCTGTCGCGTCTTGCGTGGCGGGTGGTGGTTTTTGAGACACGGTTCGAGTTCGTGCGCTGCTTGTCGAGACTGCCGGGACTCGAGTCTCGGCCGAATGGTCTCGTCCGGAGGTCCCGTCGGACGTGGTTGTGCTGCCGTCATCGAAGGCATCCTGTAAGTTTGCTCAAACGGTCGAAGCGTGTGTTCGAAAGGACTGGAGCTCTCCATTCCCGCGTATCGTGATGCCTTGTGCGAGACGAGCTTGGCACTGCTACTAGCTCCCCACGAACGTCCGTCCAGCGCGTTCGACATCGTAATCGAAGACTTGGTCGAGGGATGATGGGCGCTTCTCGGCGAGAAGTGGGACGCAGTTGCGTCTGTCTGTAGCTTTGCGGTTGGACCGCACAGCCGATCAGTGTCGCAGATCTCGTGCCGATGGGCGAGGCTGTCCAAAGGGGGGAGCCTCGACGTGTCAAGAAGCTGAGGACATGTGGAGCAAAAGCACAGACAGGAGGAGTAGTACGACACTAAACCACGGGCTTTGAATGAACGTTGAGCGAGCGACTTTTTATTCGACAGCCTAGCGGTTTTGATTGTCTATTCGTATGGCGAACGTGTCAAGTCCGGCGTGACGTTTTTTCGTCGTTTGGTTTGGTTTGAGACTATGTTTTCGCTTACAACAGCGTTGTGTGGGTGAGTGGATGGGTGGGAGTTGTGGGGAATTGCTTGTGTCGATTGAATTCCCTTTGATTTGCAGCACGTTTTCAACTTGACAATGCGAGAATGTTGCTTCGAGGTCGAAGATCCAGCGGGAGAGGAAGAGCCTCGAGCTACGAACTGGATCGTTCTATGTCTCTACCAGTTTCATTGCTAACTCTGATACGACGCCACATTGATGGACTGACGCCCCCGCTCTGTTCACAGTTCGACAACCCTGCAGGAAACTTATTCCGTCACTAACAAGCGCCACAAGTTGAGTGCCTGCTTCTCGTCCCAGGCTCTCTCGGACGACCAGGCAGCCGACTGTAGTGTTTTAAGGGTTCTTTGTAGAGCACGGAATGTTGTGGCCACACACAGTCACAGTAAATGTGAACCGCTTTTATCGAAACTCTTAGAAGCACAAGTGCCGAAGAGCTGATCGTAAGACCGTCAGCCATAGCCAGCTAGTTCACCTTGACAGACCGACTCTGGATGGCGATCGAAGAGACTTGGGCACGTTCGGGTGCATAAACGTACCCGAGCAAGAAATGGCGCCTTCTGTCCGACCTAACGCTAGATGTCGGCTCCCACACGTTCGACGGTAGCGCACAACGCTCTGGCATGTTCTACTTACTGAATCGAACACCTGATCGCAGCTGGGCAGTGCATCTGCAGGTACCTCAGTGCTCGCGCGTCTGCTAGCGAGAACAGAAGTGATCTTGAAAGACAAGTAGGTCTACTTCGATGACCGGCCGATATCTTCCACTGAGTAAGTAGCTTGTGCGTGTTTAGAAGCGTTTCAAGCGCAGGATGGAATCGTATGGTCAAGTGTACCGCTTGCGGCAAAGAGTCAGAGGATGCGTATTCTTCTGGTCACACAGCTTCTAGCCTTCTGGGGAAAAAGGACGTAATGAGTCCAAGTGAATGCATGTAGTCCACCGTCTGTAGTTGTGTAACACCGTGTTGCAGGACCGCGTGACTCTGATCCGCACAATGCCGAGCATCTGGTTGCGAAGGGCGTCGGGATCAGCTAACGATGCTGTTAACTGCACGCGACGTGACAGCCGAGCTCACGATAGCACTTGTACAGACCACAATCAGCCGTAGTTGTGTAAATAGTGCTCGGCATGAGCTCATGCTCGTTGCGGGAAAAGCGCTGGCAGGATTGAATGTGGTTACGAAGAGTAGCCAGCGTTCGAGACAGCGCGTCAGTGTTTCACATCAAACAGCGGCACTAGGCGTTTTTGCAAGTGATAGGAAGGTGGACACGGATTGTAGGGGATACGCCGTTCGGCATGGCTGGGGCAAGCGACAAAGCAGTGGCTGTTTTGGTAGCAGGTGCTACGAGAGACCAAATGTGTTTGTCGCATGCTTAAAGCTCGAGGAGAGAAAACTTTGCGTCTTCACTTGCAGCATTTGCGCAATCCGCTATCATAGCCACCATACGCACCTGGTTAGTGTTGGTCTGCTCCTCGTCAGTCCAGCTACAACCGGTGCTTACTGGCGAGATACATAGATCACACCAACAGGACCGCTTTGATAGTGATCAAATGCTCACCAGTTCTACACTGTACGTTGTTTCGAAAAGCCACTCTGGAAAAGCTAGTTAAGAACAGACGAGTAAAAAACTGACAGGAAATCCGACATCGACTTCCGACTTGTTCGATAGAACATATGACCAAATGCTACGTGGCATCTCGCCAGCAGAACTCTTACCTGGTGACACACGTTTTTCCGCCAGCTCGCTCGTCAAGCTCACGATCATGACCAGGCAAGAACGCAGCAAATCGCAATTGAGACAATCGTCTGATCAGTAATCCATTAAGTTGTGTACTTGAAGAAGCTTAAAATCAGGATATCCTTTATCTGATTACATAGGCACCTGATTTACATTTCTGTAAGAGATTGACGCGCCAGATCTAGAAGAGGTAACGTGACGAATACCTTTGAATAATGAGCATACGATCTGAATCCGTCTGGCTGTTACTTATCCGAGTCAATTTCAATTCTCATTGGACGGACTTCTCAGAAGTAAACTTTAAGCGAGAGTAAATTGCTGCTGTAGTCAATCAGCGGGCGTAAAAGCATACAATGGACATGACAATTGGAGAAGATACAGCTACTCGCGAAGGTCTTGCTAACGATGCAAGTGTGAGGTTTGTTTGAATCGAGTGAGCGCGAGTTCATAGGACTTACATAACTAAGTAAAGAAATGCACAGAAAGCTCTTGCACTGCATTACACCATCAGAAATGCATGTAGTAACAAGCGAACACATTACTCGACCTTCCAGTGCGACTTTTCCTCTATGCATACGCAAGTCATGGAGCGAGCTTATGATGCGCCGCTGTCGCGCAGAGAGTACGTAGTTGCATCTGCTTGATGAGACGTCATGTACCTGCTCCTCGTATGAGCATCTTCGTCTTCGTGGTACACATCATGACGTGGATCTCGCCAGCTGGCGATATCGTCGTGTAGCACGCGCGTCGCGACGTCATGACGATTAGTGGATCTGTCTTTTTCTACATACTGCAGCGCCACTACGAGTCACGACTACACAAGTAGCTCCTGTTTGGGCGGTATTTGTTTCTTGTCTCTCTTACGTAATTGTCTTCTTGACAGGCCCATCCTAGTACCTCGTGCTGCTGACAATGGACCTCATCGTTGCCCTCGTGACCTTTGGATTGAATACTGCTGCAAGCCGTGGACATACTGCTCCATTCTATAAAATGAGAGTGCTGTCTCAGCCTGGTGCTCATAGCGCGAGCTCTACGACCTTCTCTACTGTATTTGTACTAGATGAAGCACACGAAAGACCCAGTATCGATCCATACGACGATATGAGTCTTCTTGTCCGTGGCTGTAGGTACTACGTGCTGCTTGCTACTAGCAGCACTACTATATGCGGACATTCGTTCTGTCAGTCGATCGACTGGATACCAAGTATCTTACCAACAACGTGGCTTGATCCAGTAGCACCACTAGTATTTCGTGATAGCAAGACATTACGTGTAGGCGTCAGTTCATAGATACTTGAATCTCTATTTGTTCGGCAACTGTAACGAACGGCCATTAATCGAAAATGCAACCGATACAAGCAAGTCAAGACATCCATTATCACGCTATCGACAAAATACACGCAGAACACATCTATAACATCGGAAGACATTCAATGTCACACTGTCGACAATATCTACTCAGGCTCCATCTAAATGCGCAACTTCGTTCGTTGCACCAGGCGCTTCATTGCAGGTGATGACCATTCAAACACACACTGCATTTTTTCGAGACAGCTGGATGGGAATGCCTACCGTCGAGATAGCCCATTCTCCAGTGTCCACTCCATCGTGATCATTGACGTCGGCATAAACGACCGCAATGGACGACTGCTCAAACGTTTTTGTAGTACTGGAAGAATGCACATGCCTTTGCCTCTCGCACAATTGCATCTTCTCTGCTGATGCGGGAGCAGGCAAACCAGCTTTTTTCAGGCACCCAAAGCAGACGTGTAGTGCCATTGGCTCCTTCGAAGTGCAGGATCTGCACACGACGTGGCCGCATGCATGGCAATTCACGCGATTCGACAGCATGTGAAATCGCTTATCACACTGCCCGCAGCTCTTAGCAGAACACTTGGACTCCCATTGCATTTTTGTGACGAATGTAGACGGGTTCAGGTGTTTGTGGCGGACATGTGAGCACAGACGACGAACACTGGATCCATGCTTTTCCAAAGCGAACCGAGAAGTAGCCCACACTCCGCTCTCGATACCGACCATATACACGATCTCAGTCTGACCTTGAGTCGAGTCTCCACTCGCTGATTCCGTTGTTCCTGGTTGTCGAAAGTAGAAACCCGAGCGAAACGAAGTCGGATGCCTGAAACTTGTCGTTCGTACAGCCTGTGCGATATCTTGGTTGTCAATAGACTCCCAAAGACAGTAGCCGACAGTTGATCCATCCGATTGAGGAATGACGTCGGTCGCTACAATCGCGTACGTTTCACGGCTAGACCAAGGTCCGGAAGTCTGACAATTGACGCGCCGCACGTATACGGAACTCATTGGCCGCTCTTTCGTCGGACTACGAAGTGTTGAGACAACATCAACGTCCACGACGTTATCGAAAAGGATCCCGGTGTTCTGAAGCATAGCACGCTTTTCAGCGGGAAGAAACAAGCCCACCAATTCGTCTACCGTCGCATGCGTGTAGCCCACCGCACAGCACCTCGTCTGCCCGTGCAGAACGCTGGTCTTGTCGATATAATAAGCCACATTCCTCTTGTGCAGCTTGACTTTCCAGGCCGAGAGGTTCGAATCACCCGGTACCCTGGAAGTCCTGACGTTCTCGAGAGACTTGTAAACACTGGACATGATCTCTCGATGCCGAGCAGGCGACAGCTCTATCGGACCTTGATCGCATTCCATGAGTTCAGCGCCAAGGCTTTGGCTCAAAGTTCTCTCGAGCGATGGCCGGACCACTTCTTGCACGGCTTGCATCGATTTCTCCAATGGCTGAGAAGTCAGCTGCGATAGCCTCAATGCCCGTCTCGGCGTCAAGCAAGTGTTCCTGACTCTGCTGACGACATGACCGTGGACGTTGCTGTTGCTGTTGTTGAGTTTTCGGTAGTCGAGATGGCTGCTGCGTCACTTGGTCCAACGGTAAATTGACACGAAATCTTCTTGAGAAATCCAGGGATTCCTGTTTGGTTTGCTGCGACGGTTGATCCGTCTTTAGCTGCTTCGCAACATGGTGCGATTGACGAGGGCGTCGTGTAGATGGTTTTCTGAGTTGCCCATTCGATCGAGGTAGTCGTTCGGGTCTACTTGGGGATTCTACAGATTGCATATTGACAGCACCACGTACTCCCCAACGAGGCCCGGTCATTCTCAAGTGACGCTGGTTTACAATGTGAGTGCGCGCGACGAAACGAATTTCAAAATGGACTTTTGGAATGAAGCTCCCGCGACCGTCGCAGTTGTCGTATGCTTTGTTCATTCCTGGCTCTGTAGTCTGTCGGTATCTAGCAGACGTTGCGTTGTCACAGCAGAGAGCAGTCGGCGACTTGTAGTGTTCTTGTCGGATTGTAATGGACCATTTGTTTACTTCCTGCTAAATATGCGTGTCCGTCGTGCCTTCCTGATCCACAGCTGGACGGAGCCAACACCACGACAACTGAATGACGCACGTTATTTTCAGTGCGTGCGACATCTTCACATGTTTGCTCCTGCGGTGTACAAATGGAACCGCCTACTCTGTCCGACTGTTATGGCTTTTGATATTGCTCCATGAGGTATGACTATTATACGTGGAGCGCAGACGTCTGTGCATGGAAGAAAGTATGACTACTGGTGATACTACCACTGATCTTGACGTGATGCAAGCCCGGCATGAGTCTTCATTTTGACGGCTCTTCGACCGTAGATCGACCTCCATACGACATGAGGGGCTTACCGCGAATTATAAGCAAGTAGCTTTGCGACCGTAGTATCATACTTGTTGCCACTCTTCACATGACGCGCGTGTGTGTCTACGTAATGTTCTTATCCTAACTCCTCATTATCTATTGAAGCGATTGAAGAGGTTAAGAATACAGGTAGCATCTACTAGCTGCTATACCAAACACCACCAGACCGACCTCTGGTCTCTTTGCACAATGAACGGGCCGGCGATGGTCTTGCTCCTCTGGTATGTGCGTGATGAGTCATTATGTGACGTCGACTTTAAAAACACTGTCAATGTGAATATATTCTTGGCAAATTCACTGGAGATGCTCAACCGCATTTAATGAAACAGCACTTAGCATCTAGTGTAACCTCGAGCTCGAACAGCAGTAATGTCACCAATTGAGCAGCATTGCGCCCGCCTGTCGACTATGGCTTGCCGCATTACTACCCAATCACGGTACGTTTTGTTGCCGTTGCTGTAGTGGAGCTACACAGCTCTCAGTCAAAGGAAGACTTCTGACTCTAGAAGTCACTCAGGTCTACGAAACTAAGTGCCTATAAATTTAAGGAGTCTCTAGTTCTTATTACTAGAGATATATATTTAAAGAATCTCTAGTTCTTATAACCAGTCAACAAAGACTTTTGGAACCCAAGGAACCGCTCGCACAAGGTGCTCTAGAGTCTACGCCACAAGATGACTCTGACTCTCTGTGATCTGCCGACGTCTAAAGTAGACACGTGGCAACAAACGATCAAAAGGGAAACTGAACTTTTGTTTCTTAGTTTTACCTGCAATACACCTCATCCAACTACCTAAAACTAAGTTAAACTAATCCGCATCGTAATCTTTAGTAATAATAGGTTAAATTAGTTCGCATCGTAATCTCAGTCCATTACAAAGTGATGGATGGTGCATCAATGTGTCATCAATGGATCACTGAGGTTATCGACCACATCAATTATCACAGATGAAATTAGGATCATATATCACTTACGCGAATTATATCCCTTTTGAAACGATAACGGACGTGTGACCCCGTTACAGTTGCGCCGAGGACAATAGCGATGTTCTCCCACTCGTCATTGACCAGCATCGTCACCTCGCGATCTCACTGGCTGACCGAATGACCGAGTGGGGATCATAGAAGATGGCCAACTATCCTCTCTTACGGAGCACATAGCTTTTGGGTGAATTGGGAATAAAGTGAGTTAGTTTCTATTAAATTTGCTGCGTACGAATACAGGTCTTACAACACGATCCTTTGACAGATGAGTCTGAGCTACAGCATACTTTTGACGAGAAATAAACTGTGCGAGCGACAAAGGAAAGGTAGAAGGAAACTAGTTCTTGCTTGTGTGAAGTGTAACGTAAAAGGTTGCCGTCTTAGATGAAGGACGACGCCATTTGGTCAGCATTTCCCTCCGAAGATGTTCTCACCCCGACCAACAAATATATGGCTGGAGTGGGAAGTCTTTGTTACGTTCAATCAGACTAAATGCCTGCAATTTCAGGATGCATTCACGTATGCAACAGTGCTAACCTACGTAATGATCGAGTGTTTTATCTAATTGAGCGTCTCAAGATGGTAATTATTGCAAGATCCGTCTTCCAGCGGATGTATGTCATATTTTTGATGTACATACGCTGGAAGACGGATCCTGCAACTAAAGCAACACATGTGGAATGTCTCAGGGACAATGTCCTTTTTCCAAGTGTGACGAAGGCACAAATGACCAGCCTAATACAAATTGGAAAACAAGCTCAAGAGCTTGCCCTTTGATATATTATTCGGTTTGGAAAACTGAAACAAGATGCAAAACCATTTACAATACGATTCAATGAAGAGTAAGTATGATGCTGTTGATGTCGGTATTCGCCCAGTACAGTATACTTAGTAAATGCGATCAGGCTCTCGTATGAGCGTCCAGCAGTTGCTCGTGTGATCACATTTACCTTTGATCGCCTTTTAGTCAGCCACATGCGCGCGTCACGATAGTGGCCTAGCTAAAAAGTGACCTCGAAATTTGTCTAGTATACCTATTAGGAGCGGACAGGCCAGATCGCACTTAGTACGACAAGCGTTATTTATACACACCGACAGACACGCCGATATGTACATACTAAATTGTTCGGCATTCCCATTGCGCCCGGTCACTAATAATGTCACCCTTCGGGGGCTCGCAATAAGAGCTGGGCACGTCGAGCGGCTGTGCAATCGATACACAGACCGGTCTTTGATACTTGACGGTTTATCTGCGTGTCTCGCGATAATGGGTTACAGGTGTGCATTAAATTGTCTCTTAACGAAGCCGTTCGAATTATAATCAATGCCGTGCTATCAGTAAAAGGAAGCTCACATTTCTGTCTAGCTGACTGGCCTCGACCGTCAATACCGGAATTGACCTGTGACCTTCAGTATTGCACGAACTATTGATTGATGATTGATGAGGTCGGCAGGGGTCATGACGGCTAAAGAGGTTTTTCTGTGAAAACGTTCCTCCATGTGCTGCAAGCACGTTACTTACACATACAAATGATAAACAATTAATTCTTTTCGATGTTGATTACCTGCTGAATCTTTATCGTATCAGTGTCAAGGCGTGCTACCCAAACAGAAGTGCGAAGCTGTTAAGAATAAATGCCTGGATCCCAGATAAGTTGCCACCCTTGCATGATTCAGGCGTGCTAAAGGTGCGATTCGTAGTTAGCACGCATGGTCGAATTTGCTTTTTTAGTTATGATTTTTAGGTTGCCAAATGATTTTCTTGTTTTGTTCGAAGTCTCGATCAAGTTTCATGCGTCCAACCACTGTCTTTGCTAAACAAGGACGGTGAGTCTAAGCCTTTGTAAATCCCGATGAAGGATGGCATCGAAAAAATCAGTCTCATTATGCCTACGTTGAAGCGCGTAAATTTGGCATAATTTTGATGGATGGAAACCCTCGCTTTATGCAACACTACATGATTGGCTAAATATGAGGCATGGACAAAGGGGTAGATCCCAAATTCACACGTTTTCAAACAGAAAATTATTCTAAGTTTATACATCTGAACCATCTTTGCAGCGAGAAACAGCGTTTGAGGACATCTTTGTTTGCTCTCGAGCTACTGCAACATTGTAGTTTTCACAAGACATGCATGTGCGCGTGATGAATCAAGATCGACCCGAAGAAATTTAACATCATCGACGCAAGCTAATCTGTCAGAGTATAAGAATCTAGCAGCGCCTAGGATCTACCCATACGAATAAGTAGCGGTCGTTGCAGGAGGGAGGTCACTATGCACAACGGTATCAAACAGATATATTTTACCATCACATTACAAATAGCACCTGTTTATATCTAAAATATGTTTTTCTGCGATACAAAGAATGACCTTCTCAAGTTCAAGGCGCGTTCCCTCGAGCAATAACTAAATTGAATCGTAATAAGGCGAGTGACCATCTATTGCTGATTTCATCTGGACAATTGGCAGTGCAACCAATGTGATTAGACCTGAACCAGTACTTTTGTAATGTAGATAGAAATTAGGACTCAAAAAAAAAGAAAAAGCAACAACTTGTTTGGTTATGGATAATGTAGGACTGGAATCGACGCAGCACACAGCTCTCACTCCGATCCCAAACGACTAATGTATTCATCACCTTTCTAATAAACCGTCATTGCCGCTCTCACATAACGTTCTGAGCTCCATTCGCCTTCCCGTTGGGTCAGGTCCAATTTTTTATGCGTAGTATCACGCACATTCCAACACGCCGTTCTTGAAGAATGCCTTCGACACAAATATGTACGGTCATCGGTTATTATGGCTTGGAAAGGGTTTCGCAATCAGGTAGATGCATACCGGTCTTGCTAATAATCGTTTTCAGTATCATTAGTCGATATTTCATCAGGGCCTTGGTCAGTAAGTCAGAAGGGTTTCCTACTGTCTCGACCTTTGAAAATCCGACCGCGCCTTTGGCTACTAATACTCAAGATTGGTGCCAGCCGAGCTCAATGTGCCAAGTTCTGCGAGTGAAGTCAGACTGGTAGCCATAACGTAAGCTTCCTGAT